GTGAAAACCCGCAAAGGGCATCTTGTAACCAAAGGAAGGATTTGAGTTGAAAACCTGAAAAGGCGGCTCAAACGCAGTTTGATATTAGGCATCTGGCAATTGAATCCTCTTAAGATTTTGACAGTTTGGGAGAAACTTCACATCTACAAGCATTTTGACAACGTTTGAAATCTTCCAGACAAAAGTTTACATCACTACTCTAAATTGTGTCAACTTGATTAATTTAGAAATACTTACGCTTGTAATTTGTTGAGACATTTGAATTTTTATTCTTATGCTTGCCATAACTTTGAATACAATTATATCTATTTCAAGTTCAATTTATTTGAGATTCAATTTATTTTTGGAAATTCAATTTATTCTTTTCTATCGAATTAACATAATTTTGAAATAATTTAAAGATTTCTGAATATCACTTTATGTTAATATTTTTAAATACATGGAATACAAAGTAAGCAACTCATCACTAGCTTAAAGCCATGAACATCAAGATTGTTACAAGTGGTGCTACCGACAACGAGGTCGAATCCGCTAATTCTACTCATCAATTGCTCCAACCGATCACCATTCAGTTCTTGCACATCTGTTTTCAAAGATATACTAAAACAGTAGAAGATGATCTTTGCAGTACTGATTCCAGCAAAAAGAAACAAGACATTGATATCACTAGGAAACATGTTTCTATACAGATCCTTGTATATGGTTTTTAAGGAAACCTAGAAGCATTTCCACCTCATCAGGTTCAAGTGGAGTAATTTTATTCCTTCCAACCCATACTAGATTCCATTTTCAGCACTCATCAAGAACATACTTTTGAACACTCGAAGGTGACTCATTGTCATAAGCTTCAAGAGCCTTACAGATCCTTTCTGTCAATTTGGCACTTCATATACATGTTTATAAACAGTTCAACTTTGTTCTTGGATTCCATGAAGGCCATCACTTCTTTGTCAATGGAAAAGCATCAGCACATGGAGGAAGCAGAATAAGAGAAAATCTGTTCTCAATTGGCAGAATTATGAATATAGCCCTTTTCAGTATAATAGCATGGAAATGCTTCGAATCTACAAAATTTTGGCTCTACATCAAATGAGCATGGTGATATCCTATTCCAAACATTAACTGGAACAAATGAATATGCTCAAGCATCTTCTGGAAGTGTTCTTTGAGTTATCTGATCTGGTTGGACAGAACATAGCATCTTCTGGAAGTGTTCTTTGAGTTATCTGATCTGGTTGGACAGAACATAGCATCTTCTGGAAGTGTTCTTTGAGTTATCTGATCTGGTTGGACAGAACATAACATCTTCTGGAAGTGTTCTTTGAGTTATCTGATCTGGTTGGACAGAACATAGCATCTTCTGGAAGTGTTCTTTGAGTTATCTGATCTAATTGGATAGAATCAAGCATTGAATTTGGAAGATGAATTTGCCAATAGCATCTTCTGGAAGCGTTCTTTGAGTTATTTGATCCGAAGAAGTGCATCAGCAGCCTTAGTCATTTGAGCAGCACATATAAAATTTATCAATTTTACAATTGATGAATCTGGACCACATTTCTACATGGATATTGAAGCTTCAGCATCTGAGAATCCCATTTTTGTCAAGTATAACAGTTTATTCTCCTCATCAGAATCAGAATTCAAGATTTCTCTGTATTAGAAGAACTATCGATATCTGTGAAATCATCTTGAAAGGTCATTTCATAATCAGATGAGTTGTTATCAGAATCAACATATTGCCAGAATGCAAGCTTTTCAAGAGTTTATACTATTGAGTTTTATTCTCAAGAGGTTTTATGACATTATATCTACATCTACATTTATCAAAAATGATAGATTCTTTGATTTGAAGAAGACAGATATATTGGGTTTTTACAATTGAAGAAATATTTAATTCACTCATCTGAAATCAAATAACTTAACATTCATGCATCACATTTTAGGTATTTACAAAAATAGGTGCATTTTCATTCATTTTCATCTATGTTGAATTTTTAACAGGAATTTCAAAGATTTTAGCAAAGATTTGAATTCATCAAATTGATGGATCATCATTTCCAGAGGAAGAGTTCATAATGAGAAGAACTCGTCATCTGAAGAAGGAAGAAGAAGTTCATAATGAGAAGAATTTGTTCAACCTTTTGTTTAAATTCATCACTTGATGGATCATTCTTTTCCAGAGAAGGTTCATAATGAGAAGAACTCATCTGAAGAAGGAAGAAGAAGTTCATAATGAGAAGAACTTGTTCAACCTTTTGCTTGAATTCATCAAATTGATGGATCATCATTTTCAGAGGAAGAGTTCATAATGAGAAGAACTCGTCATCTGAAGAAGGAAGAAGAAGTTCATAATGAGAAGAACTTGTTCAACCTTTTGTTTAAATTCATCAAACTGATGGATCATCATTTCCAGAGGTAAAGTTCATAATGAGAAGAACTCATCTGAAGAAGGAAGAAGAAGTTCATAATGAGAAGAATTTGTTCAACCTTTTGCTTGAATTCATCATTTGATGGATCAACATTACCAGGTAAAGTTCATAATGAGAAGAACTCATCTGAAGAAGGAAGAAAAAGTTCATAATGAGAAGAACTCATCAAGAGCTTATTCAACCTTTTGAATGACTCTATCACAAAAAGGAGGTCATCATCATCCCCAGCAGAAAGTTCATAATAAGAAGAACTTATTTGGAGAAAAAGAAGAATTTATTCAATATCTCCATAATGATTAAAGTAAAGTCAAATGGATAAAAAATTTTATTATCTTTTCATCTTTGCCCTATTCTTGTTAACACAAGAATGAGCAAAGAGGGGCAGCTGAAGATACTATTTTTTATCCATATTATTATTATTATTATTATTATTATTATTATTATTATTATTAATATTATTATCATTATTAATATTATTATTAATATTATTATTATTTTTATTATTATTATTATTATTATTATTATTATTTTATTATTAAATATATTAAATATATATAAATTACAAACCAATTACAATTAAACCGGCCCAGTTACAAACCAACTGAAACCGGTCCGAATCCAACCAGAAACCCTAAATATTTGGGTTTCCAGTTAGGGTTTCTTAACCCTAATCATCCTCAGCCGCCTCATCACAACCGTTGGATCTGGCACGATCCAACGGTCCACATGGTTCCAGAAAGAAACCCTAGGGTTTGATACCCTAGGGCCACGCGGCGCCGCCCCAGCTTCCACGCGGCTGCCGACAGTCTTCTTGCCGCTCCGCCGCTGCCACGTCCCAGCCGAAGACTCCAGAAGCTAGAACACCAGCCGTCCACGCCAAGGCTACGGGGTGAGTCACCACTGGTAGTCCGGTGACTCACCGAAGCCCCCTCTTCGGACCGGTCCGAGACGAACACCGGTGGTGGCTATAAAAGCCACCACCCACCTGAAAAAAAAAGGGGGAGAAAAACACACAGAGAGACAAAAAGAAGAGACAGAAACAGAAAACGAAAAAAAACAGAGAAATAGAAAAAATACTAACCAACGATCTCAGCCAAAAATCCCATAAACAGAAACAAAAAAAAGAAGGAAAAAGGAAGAAGAGAACTTACCGAGGAAGCCCCGACTACCAGATCTCACCGGAATCTTCGAAACAACGAAGGTACTTTTGTAGATTCGCTCCGATTGGGAGCCTTTTAGGAAGAAATAACACCGGAACCGTCCTTAGGACGGTCCGATCTATATATTAGTGTAAAAATCTTTTTTTCCGGCCACCGGATGCGGTGGCCGGCGGTGATGGTCACGGCGGCAGACGGTTGCCGTCCGGTGACCGGCTTCCCTCCGATGAGGGAAGCTAGAGAGAGGGCAGAGAGAAATTTGTTCTCTCTCAGATAGAGAGAGAACAGAAATGATAAAATGAAGCTGGCCCTTCGGGCCAGCCGGTTTTTGGACATATATAGTCCTTCCCGAACGACGTCGTTTCGGGAAGGACTATGCGCGTAATTACAAAATAGTTAAATCCCTTCCGCAGTCCTTCGTATTTGTAAATTTTACATTTTGGTCACTAAACTGAATTTATAATAATTTTAATTCAGTCTTTGAATTTTAATTTTATTCATTTTAGTCCTTTTTATTAAAATAATATATTTAGGATAAATGACAGATTTAATCCCTTAATTTTAATAAATATTTTTTTTATCCTTAGTTCATATTTTTAATTTATTCTATTATAAAATTCTAATTTTAAATAATTTCATTTTTGGTCACTAAATTATTAAATTAGAAAATAAAATATTTAAACCCTATAATTTCAATTAATTATTAATTAGGAATTAGATTTAGTTTTATTTTTATTTATTTTATATGTTTTCATTTTAATGCTTAAAATATATTGTTTTAGTGATATTTTTATTTTATTATATTGTTAAATATTTTTATATATTCATAAATATACATATAATGAATAGTTTTTTTTTAAAATATTTATTTTTAATATCGAAGGAAAGGACAGTCTTAATACAACTGGATGTCTTATTCTGATATTTTAAAATTAAAAAGTAAACAATATTATTTAAATCAATATTTATCAATATCAAAGAAAAGAGCTGTCTTAAGGCACCTAGAAGTTCTTTTCGGATATTTTTAAATAAATAAATATTTTTTATATAATTTTGAAATAATAGGATTATAAATTAAATATATTTTTGAATTTTTTAAATTTTAATAAAAGAGACAATTTATAATTAAAAAGTACCAATTTTGGGCGTTGTAGGGGTGCTAATCCTTCCCTAAACGTAACCGACCACGAATCCCTTTTTTATTATTAAAAAGAACGAATTTTTGGTTATAAAACGCAGATCAGTTCATCTTTTGAATATGGTTTTCTTAAAAACTATTTTAAAAGATAATTTTAGGTATTCGACCTACCTGATCCAAAAGGCCGATGGCGACTCACAAATTATTTTCAAAATTATTTATTAAACATTAATTTCCCCACCAAAATTTAATATTTCGTGCCCGGACGAAAACCGGTTACGACACAGGCAAACCACTCGAATAGCTGCCTAAATCACACCTTTGCAACTCGAAAAGATCGGAGCTCGAGTCACTATCTGCACCATCATCGATCTCACCAAACTTCCGGAAACCTTTCTCTTCTGATTCATTCCGATCAACCCTAACGTTCCTGTTATTCATATCCCGATGATGGGTATCGAGATTCTTATATTTTTCTAAAATCCCATCAATGAACTTGGACTTGTCATGCTTTTTTTCATTCAACAGATCACTGCCTTTGTTGTTTTTTGCAGGTGTGGTTTTGAAACCATAGCTCGAAGAAGAATAAAACGACTTCGTATCGACCGTATTTGAGCTACGAAAATGGCTAAAACTCATCCTCCTTTTCCTTGTTCCACCACCAAGGCTTTCTTCTTCATCTTTCATGGACTGTGTGGTACTGGATTTCGAGTTTTTCTTCTTTCTGGAACGCGTTTGATTGAAAAGTGAGTTCAAGAAGCTGGCGAGCTGACCACCTGGTGAACTCGGTTGCTTGTGTTTTTTCTCTTTATTAACTCGTTTTTCCGGCGGATGAGACTGTTGAAGAAGAGGGTTTCTTCTCATCGGTACGTCCAAACTGATTCGACCTCCTTTCGGTGGCTGCCTCTCGTCCCGTGTGATCTTTTGGCTGATTAATGTTGCACAATTGTAGCTTGCTGCTCCGTTGTAGCCCGAGAAATACTTTGCGGCCTCGAACACATCGAGGTTGCCGGAACCATTCCGGCAACGGAATGCCTTCTTCGACATTATCAGAGTTTGAAACTTAACGCCGCGAATGCGAATGCTGTTAAGAATACACCATGAGGTTCATAAGATTTCTATTTATGATCAACAAAACTGTTAAGTGAAGGAGAAAGGGTTTGAAATGATTGAGTAGTGGGAACTGGGAAGGGTGTAGTTTTATAACTAAGTTGTTCAAACTATTCAATTTTTTTTAAAAAAATCATATTTTAAATTTATATTATCGGAACCCTCGAATTTAATGGTAAGAGAGAGTGTTGTTTTATCTAGAGGTCCGAGATCAAACAGTTACATCTGTATACGTTGTCAATAATTAAGAAATATTTTGATCATATATTATCTTATAATAAGTTTAAACTAATAAAATCAGTAAAATATCTTACAATTAAAAAGGCAAAAATGAACATATTACCTAGCCACATTTTGATTGGTCCAAAACTGAAATGTAACTCAAACCATAAACAAGAAGATATTGAAAGGAAGATCTTATGTAACCATGTAATAAAAATCAAACGCTTGAAAATCTTGGGTCCAGGAAGGTCAATGTCGTGGCTGGGGCGGTGCGAACTGTGTAATGGCGTAGGCCCTAAAAAATATTTTTATTATGGTAGTTTTTAATAAACGCCACTATAAATGGATTTATTGCGGCGTTTTAAAAAAGGTTACTATTGTTGCGGTTTAATTGAAAAAACGTAATTATAGATAGATTTATTTTAGCATTTGTCATAAAACGCCACTATTATTACCCCAAAATCAAATATATCTAGAAAATAGGAACCCTTTTATAAAAATTTATGCAAGGCCCCCGAAAACTAACCACGGCACTGAGGAAGGTCCTACATAATGGAACGATGCATGCCTCAGATCGAAAACATTTGGCTCCTTTAGACTATTTTAATTGAAATCGAAATAATCAATTTGAAATTTCGTGTCGTCGATCATATAATATATTTAAGTTTGAATTTCAACATCCACGATAGCATATCGCACGTAATCTTTCAAAATCACTAATATCATAACATAATTGTAGGCTAGTTGGGTTGTTTTCTTTTGTCGTGAACCATGCATCCTTAAAGCCACCTTGCATGGCCATGGTTCTTTAGTGAGTCCCATCTGTTGTTCCCCTCAATGTCGTTCTTTGTTGTATTTGTATAGCCCTTTTCGCTTCAAAGTTGGCATGGTATAGACTAAACAGAGGAAATTCGGATCAAGCCAAGTCGTATGTACAACCGTGGGTTTAGACACTACATATATGTTCTCTTCGGCCCAACCAAGATCCTGGTTTAGGGAGCAAAGGTCCAGTAGAAGACCCCACAAATTACTAAACATGGAGTTTGTGTCTTTCAGGCGAGACGGTGCAAGAAAGGATGGACCGAGGAGAGTATTGGGTAGTCTGATTGCATATACAATAAATTTAAATTCTCATATAATTTATTTTTGGATAAACTATATGAATAGTGCCCCATGTTTTCGATTTGATCGACAACAATTTAAAAATTAAAGGGAAATGGTCTCTAACGTTATTGATCAGTTCGATTGTAGTTCATAATATTATCGATCCATTTGATTTTAGCCCTTCAGCCATTAACTCCCGTTCGATTTTAGTCCGTCAACCATGTTAGGGACTTATCAAAAGGGAGTTAACGAAAATTAAAAGCAGAGAGACTTAAACCGGACAGACCGATAATGTGAGGGATTATTCTCATAGTTTACCCTTAATTTTTATTTTATTTTTTTGTATTTTTATTGATAATATAATTTCACATTTCTTAAAGTTTTGTAATTTTATACTATCTAAATTTTTAATAGAGATTCCTAAATCTATATCTCTAACATAAAATTTTATGTTTGTATCTTAATACAATAGATATATTGGTGGCAGTGTTCTCTAACATGCAATGTCTGATTTGAAATATCCAGTTGGATACTTTGAATCTTGGGTCATCCAAAGCTTTTAAGGTGAAAAAATCATTAGACAAGACATGAAATTCTGGACAGGTTTGATAGATGTGTGCGTGTAAGATGAGCTTATTGGTTCGGAATAAATGGTTCGTGCATATATTAGGAAATATCTGTAAATAGTATTAATTATTCAATTGAATACACTATGCCTACAATAAATATATTATCGGTTGATAACCAGTTTTTTCAGTAAATAAATTTGATAATAAATAAAATATATCAACGTCTCTAATTCCTTATTAGGATGAAATTGTAACGCAAAATCTAATTTTTTATTTAAATAATTAATATGACAATTTTTGATATATTCTATTTGCAATTAATTTAAAAATAGGTATGTAAAAGAACTTGTTCCACTTGATTAGGGAATTATAAGATATAAGGAATATAAATTAGTGATTATATATATATATATATATATATAGGGACAGATGCTGAATTTTATGTTAGAATATGAACTTTTAAAGTTTTAAGATGGGACAAATTTATAAAAATCTAAAAAGTGCGACAACAAATTTTTAATATAAAATATATAGATAAAATTTAAAATATATAGTAATTTTAAATTTCAGGTGGTCCATCCACCCTGCATGGGGCTGGATTTGTGTTAACAAAGAGGGATGCAGTGGGCATTGCGACAACTGCTTTAACCGGGCGTCTTCCCAGATCACGATGGCAACTTACTCATGGGTTTTAATAAGCATCTAGGATCGGCCTCGGTCATTATTGCTCAACTTTGGAGACTGCTAAAAGGCCTTAAACTAGCATAGACAAAGTCTTAGAGAAGATCCAACTTCATATGGATAGTTCGGATGTTTTAATTTTTTTAAAAACAGTCTGAAGTGATTAATACTTAATGCACTATTTACTTGAACATAGTGCCTCTAGGAAGAACAACATTCTCTTCTTCTTCTATCACACTATAGTTTTCTTAGTTCCATCAGTTCTTCACAGCATACGAATCAAAGCCTTAAAAAAATGCAATGTCTTGGACTAAGAGCAATGGCAAGAAGATCTAAACAAAACAAAAGAAAAATGGTACAAGTTGGAAATGGAAAGTCAAGAAATGATTAGTAAACAGCAGCACCAAAGCAGCCATACTTATTTGCGTGACCAATGGCTGATTTGGTGGGTGGGGGCTCATCAGTCAGCCTAAAGTCCTCACCCACCACTTTAAACAATAGTATCAAAAAACATGGACAATAGTCCAAAATTACAGTCAAAACGTAGAGCAAATCTTGTCATTAACACACAAACAAAATCAGAGTAAATGGCCAATGAATATTGAAGAAACTTATCATGTACTTAAATTAGTCACCGTTTCATTTTTCAGCTTTTTGTGGATTCAAATATAGATTGGATACATTTACAGACGAGTCTGACATATTTACATTTCTAACTATGTCTCTTAGCTTCCATTACCACAACTGATAAATGATTTCCTAGACCAGAATAAAAGCTAAATGGGTTTTCATTTACATTCCTATATATATATGTTCCTAGGAATATGATCTCACCAAGTTGACAAAAGATCTTGACTTGAAGAGACCACCAAAAAGGAACCTGGTTGGAGATTCCTGGGAAACTGGTTTAATGTCTTCAGGGTTGCCTTTAACTTTTAGTATGGTCTGGCCGATAACTTGTCTGATAGAATCTATGGTCTTTGCGTCAACAGGATACCCCGATGCATCGCGAACATAGAATGTGTTAACCGCTTTGCCTGCTTTTGTTGTTACTTCAGCTCGGGTGACGGTCAGGCTGCTCTCGCGGAAGATCCGAGTTACATCGGACAGCAATCCAAATCTGTCCGTCGTGCAGAGTTCTAGCTTCAAACCCTGGATAAGAGACAAGTTGGTTAGCAAGGCAACCTATGTCACTCCAACTCAAATATGAATCGGACATAAGTGTCGGACACAAATACTTCAAGATACCGAACGAGTCTGAGCTTATAGAGGGAGACAGGTAGATAAAGAGACAACATAATTTGACAAAAGAGTAAAAAATGTAACAGCTAGAGATCTTTGACTGGAGGGTCTGCTACACTGCTAATGTTTTGAATAAGGCTGCATATTGTTATATCATAATAATATTTGTTCATATTTGTTAAACATTTTGTGTCAATTTCAGTACCAGACTCTTTTAACTAGCTTCTGATAACCTGAAAGAGGGACCATTAACTGAAAAAAATTCCAGAGTATAAGATTAATTTATTCACAAGCAGCAGAATAGTACATACACATGAAAAATGATTCCTTCAACAAATTGTTATATTATTTTATATAAATTAATGTTATATAAAACACTAAGAAAATGCTGATAGTTTTGATGTCATGAAATGCATCATTCAGGTTAAATAATTTTGTTGTCTGAAATTATAGTCCAAGTATGAAAGGGTACTCACCTCAGATACCCTTCTGGCAATTGCTGCTTCAAGACACTGAGTTACCCTTTCTCTCTCGGCATCCGATTTCACCGGGGATCCATCGATATGCCGAATGTAATATTCCTACAAAAAGAACGTTACTTTCAATCCCAGAACGCATGAGAAGAAGCTATGTAAAAAGAGAGAATAAATGAATGGAGTTACCTGATACGAATCGGGGCCCAAAGTATCGATATTTGCATGAAACACTACATAGTCCATATCGGTCAAGGTGCAAACTGTATCGAAGAGAAGTTTCGGTCTATCTTTACACCTAATTGTAACCACTGAGTAGTCCTTATCATACCAATTAACAACATCGACATTCGGCCTTTGCCTGTCGTCCAAGACATCTTCCCCGATTAGTTCGTAATCCCTATCGTCAAACATCATCTGGTGAAGCCTTCTATCAGTATGTGTGACCGAGTGGGAGACCACAGTTTTGGCTAAGCTGGATTTGTTGCTACCCTTGAGCACATTGCAAAGAAGTGTCTTTATCCTCGACAGCCTTTCCGGCTCAGTAATTGCCGTTCCCGTTTCGTCATCGGTCACTTGCATCACAGCCGCAGCACGGGTGTTATGTGTCCAAACTTCAGCATTTACTACGTTGCATTTAAGATGCTTCAGGACAGCACTCACTTCAGACAGCAATCCCGACCTGTCACTTCCTGTTAACTCGATTGCGGTGTGGTCCATTGATTTCTTCACCCCAACAGATCTCATTGAAGGTGTGAAACAAGATTCTGGTCCTAGAGACTAGACACCAAAACAATTAATTAGTACAAAAAAAAACCCAGGAAAGCAAGAGGGGAAAACGGCAAATAAATTAAAATTTGTACTGCTTACCTTCCTTATATAATCTAGAATCCCTTCATCTAGGATTTTGTTTCCATCATGATCGGTAACATTGAAAACTGGTTAAAAAAAACATAAATTTTAGAATCAAATGACTACTTCTAAAAATTACACATACATACATACATATATATACCGTACCATCCATGAACCAATTGCCATCAGAAGATATGTAGGCCTTATTGATGATAAGATTAATATCAGTAAGGATTTGTACAACTTCAAGAAGGATTCCATGTTTGTTTGCACTATCAACCTGCATTAAAATAATCAAATAAGCTAAGAAGCATAAAAAGAAGGGGGAAGATGTTCAAATAGTGAAAAAAATGAAGAAATTTAAAAGGGTCATTCATATATACATACACTTATCACTGTTGCATTCTTGCAGGCTTCATTATCAATCACAACCCTGACAAGGAAGGTTAAAAGTGAATGTTATTTATTTGGTTATTTTTTTCATAACTCCAATAAGACTACAATAAAGAAGATGAGTTTTTTTTTTTGGTTACCTGGGTGGATTCATTCTTCTAATGAGTTTCTCATATTCATCATCCATGTCATGGGAAAATCTCGTGTTCATCTCTAAAATAACAAGAAAAAATAATAGTTCAAAAACAAAAGCAACCAATCAAAAAACTAGAAACAAAATCCTATGCAAAACCTTAAACAGACTTGTTTTGAGGGTGGTAAGGCCTAAAGAAAACTCTTGAAAACACAAAAACTTTGAGCAGAGGAAACAAAAAGTAGTTCTCTATGTGTTTGTGAATTGGTTTAAGAAAAAGAAGGACTCCCATCAAATGAAATCCATAGAAAAACATGTAGGAGAAGAAGAAAAAAGGAAACCACAATAGAAATCAAGCACACTTCCTTAAAAAAAACAAACCCACGCTCTAAGAAAAACAGAAGAACAGAGGAGATAGAAGAAACAACTGATACCCGTTATAGATTTTGATTTGTTTGAGAAATATGTGAGCAAAAAACTTGGGTGTTTCTTTCTTTGATTCTGTGTTTAGCAAAGAAAGGGTTTTTGTTTTTCTTGTGCAGTAGTCTATGCAATAGTATGAGAAAAAAACCAATGCAGGAAACTCTCTATTTATATACTAAAAGAATAAGAATCTTTAGACTCCCCTGAATTCTCCCACTCTTATTAAGGCAAATCAAATAAAATTAAAAAAATTGACAAACAATAATAATATAATTCTTGACTCAGATTCAGACTCGGCTCAGACACAACCCGCACGACACCTCAAAAACCTGCAAATTCTACGTTAAAGAAGTGACAGCTGGGGCTTACCAAAGATCAACAAAATTGGAAGTCATAATGACAAAAATAGTCTTTAACGTTTACATTAATGGTACTTCTGCCTTCCATTCTTTTCTTTGGATCATTTTACCACAACGTTTTAATGTTTGATTCAAATAAATCATGTTCGATAAAAATTGTTAGTTAACTAACGATCAAGTTATATTGTTGATATGATATATATCACGTCATTCAAAGTGATGATATGACATGTGTTACATTAATAATCGGACATATGTAAAAATAATACATCAACAACATAAATTGATCGTTACCAAAATAAACGTTTAGATTAAATTTTATTAATATCTATTTGAATTTTAATTAGTTTGTCACTTTTATAAATTTTAAAATTATAATTATTTGAATTAAAATAAATAAGATTTAATTTTTTATATAAAATAAACGTTTTATTTCTAGATTAAAATACTATATAAAATGATTTTTTTCAATTGAAAAATCTAAACCAAATCATATTGACGAATACGATTCAAGCCAAATTCTATTACCAAAATAAATATCGAGGAAATCCCTATATCTGGTTTATACCCAAAATGGATGAGAGAATAGAGTTTTAGTCAACTCTACTATATGAATAAATTTCAAATTATATATGATTTATATAAATCTTAAGATTTTTTTTTATAACTACCGATTTCTAATTTATTAATCGATTAATTCGAATCGGATACTAAAACAGAAACTAATTTTTTACTTATTCATTTAATTATCTAAACCCAAACTATTTTTTTTTTAATTAGCAATCAATGGACAAAGTGAATTAAGTGGATTTTTAAGGAGGTCATTTTAACCCACGTGTTTAATTAAAGCATAGTTAAAACGTGGCAGCTGGCAGTATGTTTGGATTGTCCTATGTTTATGGAATATGTCTTAACTGAGCTGTCTTGTTGAGATTGGTTGGAATTCTAGATTTTGAGGCTGTCTTTAAACTCCCCAAACCCTAGCCTTTTTCACTACAAGGAAAAGTTGGATTTAGCCACGTTTTTCCTTTTAAAAAACGTGACATTGTTTTCATTAATTACATTCAACTCTCGCGTAAAGAGTTTTGGACAAGTCGTTTAAATTTATTGTATTTAATTAAAGTTGAATTAATAGCACTAAAAACTGTTGGATGCGTTAATAAAAAGTACATTATTTTTAAATTTTAATAAACAAATTAAAGATAATATAATTAGGAGAAAGAATTATGAACGCGAAACATAAAATATATTTTAAAAAAACTAAGTAATAGCACATTACTTTATCGAGCTAAGTTTTCAACATTAAAGTGTACATATTAAAACTATAATTCATTTAAGTCAATAATAACTGGTAAAAATTGTAAGTTTAAGTTAATAGTGCATTAATGTATTTAAGTTAATTGTTTTCAATGTAATAGTTTAGATCATTATTTGTAATTAAATACTACGTGTCTATATATATAAATCTTAAATAACTTTTTTTATATTATATATGTATATAGGGTTAGAATCTACTTAAATAAATAATTTTTAAATAACTTTATAAATAAAAATAATGTTGGTGCACTTGATAGAAGAGGCAAGTCCTACACCAAACCAAAAGAGATAATTTTTATACATTTTCTATAATTAATTTAGTTTTTTAGTCTAGTTTCCTTTACAAAATGATTCTCTTCAAAGATTGTCTTTAAGGGGTGTTTGGTTCATGTAATATGGGACTACAGGGGTAATTAAATGCCATTCTCCTGTTTGGTTGGTCAGTAATCATATTCTCCAGTAATATTTTATTCTCAATAGTGGTGTTTTTGGGGTATATTACTTGGAATGTGATTATGCTCCTTCCCTTAGGTATTGTTGGATTACCGGCATTTTGGACTAAAATGCCCTTAATTTTTTTTTTCAAAAATATATTTCTTCTGTCGTTGAATAATAAAAATTCTACGAATGTTAAAATATAAATTTATCATTAAACTATTTTATATTTACAAAAAAAAGTCCATAATTAGACTTTTATATGAAGTTCAGGGGTTAAAATAAAATTTTACCATTTCATCAAACCTATTTATCTTTTCAATTTTGTAAAAAAATTATGAATTTATTTTTTTTAAAAAAATATATAAAAATTAATTATAATAATATTAAAGTAGAATTTAACTTGTTAAAAAAAATATATATAAAAATGACAATTCGGTAAAATATACATTACAATAATCTTTTATTCATTTAACCAAACACTGTAATCTTACATTCATGCTAAACGAACCAAACACAAAATACAACATTCCCAATAATCTTATTTCTGCCGGTAATCCTATTCCCACTGGTAATCTTACATTCCGTGAATCAAAATCACCCTAAGTGTCAACTTAATATCGTTGTCTCTCATTTTATTTTGATTTAGATCTAAATAAATATCATCTCCATTTTGATATTTTTTTCCTTTTCATGTATTCTTAAAGCGTTTATTTTTATCTGCATTTATGACATGATTTCTTATCTACTTTTATGGCACGATTTTGTTTATCATTATGATAGTTTGACATTCTGTGTTGCATTCATCACGACTCACCTCCTAATCAGAAAATGTTAACAGTCTCGTATAGTTAGATTCTCTTTTGCAAAAGTTTATAAGTGTATTCAAAACTATTTACGGAGCAATATGTCAAATTAATTCTTTTAATCTCTGCGCCTACATCAATATTGCGTATAGGTTTCATCTCTTCAATATCATTTTCTTATCCTTAAACAAATAAAGATTCCTTTCTTTAGATAAAAATATATATTTTGTGCAGTATTTCTGCCATTTTAATGGATTTATCTGAACATGTAACCCTCATTCATTTGCAGTCCTAATCAGCCATGATCGAGGAAATGTATGTCGTCGTGCATATCACCTTGTAAATGTATCTGAAAATAAATCATTTTAAACTAAAAGTTCTCTCTTTTGTCTCCTTCCTCTCATTTTTTTTCAATTTAAAATATATTTTGAATTTTATGCATTAAGATATAAAAATAATTATTTTTTTCTGTTGTTCTAACTAAACATATCATTAAAAATTATTTTCTTTCCAATTTTTCACTTGTTAAACACACTCAAATATTAATATATGGATAGTAACCGTGGAAAAAAGAATATGAACATGAAATGTGTTTACTAAATCAAACAATATGTAAAAACAAGTTGCTAAATTATGTGAATTTATTTTTATTTAATGTTTATAAAGTTTTTTCTAGGCTCGATACTGATTTAAGATTTGATGTTGAGAAGTATCGGTACTAGAGACGAAACAATAATATTGTATAAGACAATATCAATACCTAATTCATGATATTACTAGAGATCCCAAGTTAATAAATTGCTCAAGATAGTCCTATTTGCATGTATAAGTTATATTGAGATCTTTAAATGATAAAAAATTATGCTTAAAGGTCATAAATGTGTTAATTGATTACACTTTGGGATTGAATGATGAATTGGCAAATAAATTTCCAAAGTTATTGTTAGTTACACTTAAGTTCATCTATCTCTTAATTAAGAAAAGCAATAATAAATTGCATCACATGTTATGTACTTATTAATATTTTGTTAATATACACAATAGAGAAATCTAAAAACAATAATAAATGAAACTTTAAGCATTTATTATGAAAAAAATTCAAATATCTAAGATAAAAAAAATACTTTTAAACATTTATATTTTTAAATAATTAAAAATAATAACCTTAAAAGAAAAACTAATTAGCATCGAAAATCACAACAGTCGTCGTTTACGTACTCTCCTTGTCAATCATTCAACGCAATACGAGAAATTATAATGTGCGACAGTTTTAATATAAGATTTAAAAAATATGTTATCAGTTTTGTTATTATTTAAATAACAAAACTAGTAAAAAATTACCGAAAATATTATTATTTCTATCAGTTTTGTTATTATTGGATGTTTTATCGGGTTTGGTAATATATCCGGTAGAAAAAATAATGCTTTAGGTAGCTCTTTATCAGATATATTATCAAGCTCGGTGAAACGCTCAATAATGTTTTAGATAAAAATAATAATATTTTAGATAATTTTTTACCGATTTAATTATTTAAATAATAACAAAATCAGTAATAATTTTTTTAACCGTATAATAAAGATGTCGCACTGTAGAACTTCAAAACCCAACCATATGGTTCACACCTTTTTAGCTCCTAACTACCTCCCCAACTGTCAGTAAATCCAGATATTATTGTTAAATAATAACAAATTTATTAACATATGACTAAATTATATTATAAAAAATAGTAGAAAATAATTTTAAATAACAAATGAATGTAATTAAGAATGTTATCGAGTCAAAAGGTCAATGGGAGGGGAAGGGAGCGAAGTTAACTGATATACCGACCGACCGCCCTTTTCGTTAGTTAAAGCATTAATTTTTACCTGTTTGTTTAAATATTAAATTGTTTGGGAGTAGCAAAGGTGCACGTGACCTGAGTCAGAGGGTATCAGAATTACACATGGAGCATATCATGGTAATCACGCAAGCTACTCCCTCTTTATATATTTTTTAAATTATATATTTCCTTTCATTATAATTATAATTTATTATTTAAAGGGCCTCTTGGAGTGTCTAAAGGGTCGTTGCCAAATCAGCGTTACATAGGCGAAGTTATAACTATTACTTATATAATTTATTGATAGTGTAACATAGAGATAGGGAGGTAGAGATTGTGTATGTAGTTCGAGTATGCAATCAAGTATAGTTGCATATAGGGATGGGTATAAGAGTCGAATTCGATAGGTTTCGACTTGATTTGACTTAATCAGGTCGGGTTTAAAAAAAATCAGTTTTGGTCAGGGTCGGGTTAAGTTTTTTTAAAATTGATGTTCGGGTTGGGTTGGATTTGGGTTTAGGGTTTAGGGTGAAAAATATCGAACTCGAAAAAATATAATTTTACCTTATATATTTAGGAGTAATTACAATAATACCCCTCTATAATTTATTTTTCAATTAAATCACTGTTTTTATTGAATAAAAATACTATTTTTTATTATTTCAGGTCGGGTCAGATGAAGGATGTAAAATTTTCAAGTCAGTTTGGCCGAAACCTGACCCATGACCATCCCTAATTACAGATCCACATGGATTTGATGGTATACATTTAAAATTTTATTTGGTTAATTACCTATTTTATTGATGATGTTTACTTTTAAATTTTATTTGTGCTCATACATTTAAATTTTTTCGTGTTATTAACATGTGTGTGTCCATCCTAAAAATATTTTTAGATCTATCACTGATCGAGTAACTCACGCTATAACTACGAATAAGATGAAACATATTGTAAGTTATTTGAGTTTTACTCGACCAAAATTTGATCAATATTCAATTTGAATAGATTTAACTCGAGCTAAAATTTTTAATCAACTTAGCAATACTTCAAAAGGCAACGAAAAATTATCAAGCTTCAAATCTTTTAAGGAAGATTGGAACAATGCATGAAGATCATGTGTAGATATTAATTAGTTTTATTTTTTATTGATAAACAATATGAATTTTAATATATAATTTAAAATTTAATTGAGATAATATTCAAATTGTTTGAATTCCTTAAGAATATTTAAGAGTATATCGAATAATCTATCAATATAAAGAATATCGTAAATTTAAATTAAGTGTAGTCAAAATCGAATCCGTGTAGAAGGATAACCATATTATTGCTTTCGAAATTTGTTGGAATCATCAAATGTTCATCATCTACGTGACTCCAAGCCCTTCAGAAGTCTTCCAAATCCCAAACTGAGTCGGTCCAATACCCTAACCAACGTTATAACCTTAAGATAAGACCCTGCACAGCCCAATTGACAGGCTAGGGATTTGGAAATTTGAAAAAGAAATTATTTTATTTAAAAAATTTATCAGATTCAAAACTTAATTTGATTTGTACATTAAAATATATATACTTGATTTGATATGATACAATCTGGTTTAAATCTGAAATTTATTTTTATTAAATAAAATAAAGATTTAATTGAAAAAATAAAATAGAAAATGTTAATATTGTAATTATTCATGAATATATGAGACATGTTTATAATATTATGTTAGATTAATTTGAGTCAAAAATCTGTTCACTCTAAATCAAAATTCTACTTGATCTCACTTCACCTTTAAAAAGATTAACTCGATTCAAACTTAAATTTTCAAAATAAAAAATCAAATCAAAGTAAATCATATTACAACCTATCCAATTCGAAATAACAACAATTCATTTACGACCGATGCCATTTTATGTTTAATGTCAAATAATTGAGAGTTTTTTTTTAATATAAAGATGTAAATTCATAGTGCTATCCATAGTATGCTTCTCTTCTAGAACCAGCTTGTTAACCTCTTCCGGTGGCTGATCAAAAGGTGTGCCCTCCCTCGGGGAATTCCATGCTATCTTTGTCATGTTGTCTGCAACCATATTACTTGTCCTGGGTATGTGACGAAACTACAAGTTTCAGTCTTTCCGGATTAATTGGGATATATGCGGAATCATTAGAGATATCATCTCCATATCTTCTCCTTGTGCAAGAACTGACCATGCTTCTTTGCCGTCTGTTTCAACAATGAGCCTTCGAATGTTCTTCTCCCATGCAATGAGCAAGCCTTCATACATCCCCCACAACTCCGTCTTCAATATCGGACAATACCCTATGAATTTTGAGAATCCTAAAATTCAGTCCCCATCTCGTAAAGCTCCCCCACATGTTGACCGTCCATAGTCCGATTTTCGTGCCCCATCGGTATTTAGTTTACACCACCCATTAGGTGGAGGATCCCACTCCCATCTTAGGTATAGATCGTTACTACCCATTCTAGGAGCATGAGCAGCATGTATTGCATGAGCATGCTTAGCTTCCATTACAAAGCGTCGGCTCCTTTGTAAAACACACTCGGTCTCGATATAATTTGGTTCACATATAACTTTGTTTCGTCGAAGCCAGAGACTCCGTATTATCGAACCAAACAACAATTCTCAATCCTCCCCATTTTCAGAGTTAAACTCAATCCAATCTTTGATATCCAGAGTTAAAAATTCGTGAAGACAATCTGGTTTGACTACCTCTTGTCAGGCCGTGCGAGCAATCATACAATCTCGAAACACGTGTTAAGGATTCCGAGGTAGCCCCACACAATCCGCAAATAATTGAGATACTTTGAACATATCTTACACTCACCCATATTAATAAAAAAATAGAACTAATTTCTTAATAAACCATCAGTAACTTTATGTCTTTGTTCGATCGATCAATAATTCAATATAATAACTCTTAACGTTTAAGACAAAGTAATAAACTTGTACATCAAAGTTTCATTCGCATGCCTGATTAGTGATTAACTTGCGTTGAGTATTGATATAGAGGAGGGTAAATTATAAAAATTTACCAGTTAATCTAAATCCAATGGCTGATCCCTTGGTTCTAAATCGGTTGTTCAAGATCACTCCGAGAGACAGAGAGAGTTTGACTGGGAAAATAAGTGGAGAGGATAGAAGTAGACGTGGAGGAACCCACACGAAAAAAAAAAGAACAGCTCAAGGTATCCAATAATAAGTCAACACGTGTACTTGCATACCGACATCTTCATCACCTTCACTGAATTCACTTCCTTTCTCTGTTTTTTGCCTTCTTAATTAAAAAAACGGATTTTTGTTTGTTTTCGCCGGCGGAATAATAAAACAAACGAAACTCTTTTGACTTTTAAGAAGTGAGCTGATATTCTTCGATATTTTGTGTGAGCATCCAAGAAAGTAAAAAAAGGGGGAAAGAAAGAGTCAAGATGGTATTTTTCTCAGGCATTTTGTTGTGGCTGCTGTTTGGTTGGAAAGAAAATTTGGGTTTTGGTTTGTTTGTTTTTCCTGAGAAAGTGAACAGGTAAAGTGGCGTTGTCAGTTTGGTTATTATAGTTCTAAAAATGAGGTGGGTATAATTAATGCAAAAGCTGAGTATACTAAATAAATGGTTGTTGTGGCCGTTGGGATCCCTCAGAAAACTGAGAGCGATGTTGTTTGGTTTGCTTTAGTAAACAGTAACAGATTGGGGCGGTGTTTTCAGCTTTGACACTTTCTATTACGTATTATCTTCTTCATTTTTCTTTAGATTTTATTTACTATTTGCTCTTTAATTCGTTGTTTAAAAGGCCTCTTAGAAAACACGCAAAGTTTCTTCATTGTTTTTAAAACATTTTTATTCCTACTCAGGTAACTAGAATTAAAGAAAAATATTCTTCCTTTATTATTTGCTTTGCTTCCTTTAGAACCCTTAAACTCCAAAGGCTCTTCCTTTTTTTCTCTCTTGGGATTCCTTTGTTTCATTTTATAACTTTGTTTTCTGATTTTCTCTTGGCTCTTTTGCAGTGAAGATTGGTGAAAGTTTATGTTTTGAATCAAAGAGGAGAAAGGGGAAAAAGGTTACAGATTATAATTTATTTTTAATGTTTTCTTTTGTACGATTGTTTCTATTTGTTGGGATATGCTTTAGATCTTTGACATTCTCTCCTTCTGGTTTTTACTGCAGCTTTTTCTCACGTATTTGGAGTTAAATAAATCTGGGGTTTTTCTGATACACAATTATAGTGGACTAGATCTGGTTAAAGTTGGGAAAAAAACACGGGAGAAGGGTTTGTTTTTGGGGTTTTGAATCAGCTTTAAGCTTTTGAGTCATAATTTAGTGGTTGCAAGCTTTTTCTAAAAGTTTAAAACTTTTATTTGTCTTGTCTTTTTGTATATTGACTGGCTAAAGGAAGATTCCCCCATGAAGTGAAATGATTTTGGTCATGGTGCAATTTCTTTGTGAGTGTTGCTTTTTTTTTTCTCTCTCACTATATTGTTGTGTTTGATTGGATTTTTGCGGTGCATATACTTGGAGTTTTCTTTGTTTTCTAAGCTAATGAAATGAGCTTGAATTACATACATGCTTGTTCTGATCTGGTTTATCACACCTTCAGGCATCATTTCAGCTTCTCTATTTTCTGGTTTTCTGTTTTAGTCATGAGTCCTTTACTCCTTTTTTTGTGCATTTCCATGGTGGTGGGTGGTAGATTTCGTTTCGAGTTAATTAGATTCATAGATGGTGCTTTCAGTTGATCGTATGAACTGTTTTTTCTTTGCAAAATCCTTTGATTCCGTCCTTTTCGAGCGACTTCATGTTTAATATGTTACTAAATCTTCTCATTAATTTCATCCTTTTTGAGCAACTTTGTGTTTAACATATGAAAATTATGGTTTTGATTGAATGTTTTAATGTACTTGCAGGTAGTGAACAAGCGCTATGACATTCATACTTGGCTGACATAAAACCTTTCGAGAACAAAGAAAATCCTCTGGATTCGAATGGAATAAAAAGCAAAGGGAATTGTGAAGGAAGACCGGAATTGTGTCGTAAAGACATGGATGGCTGGCATCAAAATTCGATTGTTCTACGAGGGCAACTGACTTTGTGAGATCGAATTATCATTCTTCGAAGAATATGGATTCGTTTCAGAACTCGGTTTTTTATTTGGATAAAAGTTTAATGGGGTGTAATATGCCCGAATTGGTAGTTTGTTATAAAGAGAATAGATATCATGTTATCAAAGATATCTGTATCGATGGAGGAGTTTTGACAAAGGACAAGTTCTTGTTCGACAGTGGCACAGATGAGAAGTTTCTGCCTTCTGAAAAGGATCTAGATGCTACACTAATGAAAGAGAACCCGGAAATGGATATGTCCATAAACGATGTATCTAGGCTTCCAGAAGAAAATCAACCTGACAAGGATATTGACAATGAATGGGGTTCGAAGAAAAAACTCGATGCTGATACATGTATACAAGATGTTTCCTTACTAGAAGAAAATAAGGACTCCAACGAGGGGCTTCCGAATCAATGTGATTCTAGGGATTTGATTTTGTCAAGGGAAATGAAGCATGATGTGATGATGCAAGTGATTACGGATGATGTCTCCAAAAAGTTGTATGCCCTTGGACTCGGAGAGTTAACTTTGATGTCGGAAATGAGCTCAGTGAAAACCCAATCTGTGTGTTCTGACTGCAAAAGTGATGGAACCGAACAACAGTCTTCTCGGGTAAACTTTGTCTCGATAAAAGTTACTAAAATGTCAATGTTCTATACCGAAAGAAGATGGTTCACACCTTAGGAATTACCATGATATGTTTTTTATTTTGTATGTAGAACTCGAGCGAAAAGGAAGTCACGGGGACACACCCTTTGGTTTCTGCAGTTGAAGAATCAAACAATAGCAGCGAAGAGGCGATTCTATCAGCTTCTGCTTTGGTTTCTGCTGCTGAAGAATCTGACCCTGAGAAAGGGGAAGCTACTTTGATCAGTTCTGTCCCGGCCTCCGTTTCCGAGGAATCAAGCAGCAGATGCCTTGTTAACGAGGTATCTAATGATAGCAGACTGGTGGGTGGACGGATCACATGTCACTTCGACTCTTCTGCTCCAACAAGCAGCAAAGACGAGTGTCACCACTATCCTGATAGTGAATCGAAGGCTGAAGATAGAGTTGATCAACCTTTTTCGAACAATCTTCAAAGGGAAAATGCAGAGTCTAGTTTCTCTATTGCAGGGCCAGTAACCGGTCTTATAACTTACTCTGGGCCAATAGCATATTCAGGCAATCTCTCCCTCAGATCAGATAGCAGCACAGCAAGCACTCGTTCTTTCGCCTTCCCTATGTAATTTTACCAGCAAACTATCCATTTCTTGCACTTTACTTCTCCTTTACATGCAATTCATGATTAATCATTAAGTACTTGGATTTTGTTCGTTACTGCAGATTGCAGCCTGAATGGGATGCAAGTCCGGTAAGAATGGCTAAAGCCGACAGGAGACATTACCGGAAGCATCGGGGCTGGAGGCAGGGCATCCTGTGCTGTAGATTCTGAAAAGTTGTATTCAATCCATAGGGTATACAAATCTATTATTCTTAACAAGTTACATACATCAATATCATCCTATTTTCTCTCATATGGTGAGTAATGCCCCAGTAGGCTAAGATGGTATGATGCTCGGAGTTTCGGTCTCGTTCACGTAACTTGAGCTGTAAGCAATTCCGTAGATTTTTTTCATATATTTGTAGCGTTTATTTTTGGGTTTTCACTTTCTTTGTTAATAATGCCATGTTAAGTTGTATCAGATAAGGTCATTATTTACCCAAACGTTTTCGTGTTCATAAAATCTCAGCTCGTATGCTTATATCAATTCAGCTCCAAGAAGAAGAAAAACTGCTTTGTTTATGTTACAGAATTGAAGCTCAAGTGGTGCAGGATAATGCTTGCAGTGTCTTATCGTTTATTTCATCATCTTTCGATCTTGTTTTTGCCCGGATTCAATGGCTGGATTTGTAGTTAAATGTCATACTGGGATATGCTTGGGGTATATATATAATAGAATATATTAGCTTACATATAAAACAATGAAACTCTTTAATTTATCATCTATCATGCAAATACAAAAATTAATAATAATTTGAGACATTATATATAAAAGGCTTATAACATAAAATGCTCCTAAATTTAGTAAATTTGGTGAAATTGATCTATGAACTTTTTTGGTTAAATTAATCCTTAAATTTAACAACTTTGGTCAAACTGGTCTCTGAGCTTAATTAAATTTAGTTAATTTAATCTTAAACTTGATTTTTTATTAAGTTTAAGAATGAATTGATTCAATTTGATCAAATTTTGTCAAATTTAGGGATTAATTTGATAGTTTACAGGCCAATTTGATCAAACTTACAAGGTTTAGGGGCCAATTTATGTTATAAGCCAATGAGAGCTCAAGACAAATTGCAACAATATGTCCGCCTCAAGCAAGTTCGGGCTGTGATTTTCCAGGATAACGATGGGATTCTAGAAGAACATTCTCTGTAAAATCGGCCTACAAATCTCTAATTGGTGAAGATGAGAGGAAGTTAATGGTTGCTAGAAATCTATTTGGAAGATGAAACTCCCTCAAAGAATCAAAACATTCCTACGGATGCTGCACCATGACGCGTTATTTACCGATGTTGAGTGGAAACGAAGACACCTAACCAATCAATAATATCCGCTATGTAATTTACAGGAATGATGATGAAGACCTCCATCATATCCTTCGAAAATGTGTTGCAGTAAAAAGAATGTGGAATCAATTGTTAATATCCAATAAATGGTATCCAGGATCCACAAGTCTAGGGGGGCTGAGATAAAACGACGCCGTTGCGTGACAGTCCTACAGGCTACAAGAAGTAAAATCAAGAAAATCGAAGTACTTGAGACGGCAGAGAGCAAAGAATCAGAATCTATCAGATCCTAGCAATGGAAGATTTTTGGAAGCGAGCGAGATCCTTCGCGGAAGAAGCGGCTAAGAAATCGCAGTCCCTAACAGCGCCCAACAAAATTGCTGATCTTGTCGCCGAAACCGCCAAGAAGTCAAAGGAACTTGCTGCCGAAGCCACCAAGAAAGCCGATGAGCTCAAAACCGCCGCTCTCAAACAAGCCGATCAAATCCAAATCCAAGCCATTTCCAAGTCCATTTCCGATTTTATCCCTCCTCAACTCTCCTCCCTCTCCATTACTTCTCCGGCCTCCTCTTGTTCCGATCCTCCGCCTATCTCCGATTTGGAGCTCCGGAAGTTCGGATTAACCGACGATTTGAGAGACTTTGTCAAAGGTTTTACTCCAAGTACTTTCCAGGACTTCCCTTCCCCTGTTCAAGGTAAAATTTTCGTTTATTTTCATTTCTTGTGTTTCCATAAAGATAACCTTGTCTGAAAGTTTTAGATTTCCTTGTAGATGAACCAAAGATGTCCGATGCGACAACTACAGGGTCCAATGTACGGAAGGATCTGAGTGAATGGCAAGAGAGGCATGCAACACTTGTTCTTACTACTGTGAAGGTTTAAAAAAAAAGAAAAAGGAATAGTACATTACTACATTTCGTTGTAGATTTTTTAATTCAAAGGCTGTGTTTAAGGATCCTAATTTTTGAATTTGGCATTGAGATGAACTTCTCTTTAGGTCAATACTTTTTTATCATTACAATTTTCAATTGCAAAGGAAATACCAAACTAGACCTAAGTTTACTAGGAATTGAAGGAAGCATTTCAGATTTTATACTTCCAATAATTGATTTATGTAAAACGTATTATTCTTATGCAGGAAATCAAGAAATTAAGATATGAATTGTGTCCACGTTTGATGAAAGAAAGGAATTTTTGGAGGATATATTTCACTCTTGTTAGCACTCATGTTGCACCGTAAGTTTATAGTAAATATTATTTTTGTGATTTCTGATAATGATTGGTAATTTAGGGTTAGCTGTCAAATTCTAATTATGATGTAAGCTGTTTACATTTATCAGTTATGAGAGGTAGTACATGGAGGAAGTTAAACAGAGAAAAGTGGAGGCAAAAGAGGAGAAACCTGCTGTGAAGGCAGAACCGGAAAGTAGTTTGAAAACTAAAACATCGAGCTCATCTGCTGAGCAGGATTTGGATACATTTTTGTTGGGAGATTTTGAGAGTGATGGGGGTGGAGGTATATTCATCGAAATTTTTTCTATTGGTTGCTGATTTGTAATATCTTCACGTGTTTCTCGCTCCCTGCAGTTTTGATGTATATTTGCTTGCTCTTGAAATAACTTAATGGTTTATCTTTGTTATTATTATGACTTAATTTAGAAATTATTCATTAAAAAGAGTGTTTCTGAGTATCAAAGCCTGATCATGTATTTCGATGTGTAGCCAAACTTTCTTTAGCTGATTTAATTTTTCATGTATATATTGGTGGAGGTGTTTTATCCTTGTTAGGACATGCCTATGTTACTCAGTTTCCGGTATGAGTGTCGGATTCATGTATATGTCAGACGTAGGTATGATCAATCTTTTTATAGTGTTTTCATGTATCTTGAGGATCTTATAGGGTCATATTCCTATACTCAATGTCAAAATGTGTTTTGGACACGGTCAAGAAGAGTTGGAGACATGTAGCACTAGATGCCATATTTTTCTTATTTTTTAATGTTCTCTTTTATGACTTTTTACTGTAAATCCTCTAATAATTCTCACACCTTTCAGATGAGGCTGATGGTGATGTCGATGCTGATGGGAGCTTGGATGATGACTTTGACAAGATTGAAAATTCTGTAAGCTTGAATAGATTTTTACTTCCTATTATTTAGATGTGTCTGTTGCATCCCTTGATCTACACCTCATCACATTTTCTATGTTTCGCCTTAACAATTTGGTGCAAAGGTTCTTCACCCTTGGAATTGGTCGTAACATATGATAACATTCCCTGGCATTTTGCAGGATGTTGAAGATGAGAAGAAAAATTCAGAGGGAACAAAAGCTTAGAACTTATTAGCTGCCATGATGAGAAAAGACTTTGGTAGTGATGGCAGAAGTTGTATGTCTGCTCCATGTGAAATTGAAAAGATACTATTATTTTGGTGGTATTTGTTTATTTATTTAACACGAGAAACAATTGCAGGTTCTGTTTGCCAGGGAATGAGATCTAGGGGAAACTAAAACATCATTATAGGCCTTGTACAGAGAACTCATTCAATTGTTTAAGTTGTTCTTGTTAATGCTTATGACTGTTGGAGTTTTACTTGAAAATAGTATTAAGTGGGTTATAGACACACACATTCTCAGTTAATATAATTTACCTTATTAAATAAATCACTTTAAATAATAATTTCTAATTTGTAAGTTTCATTTTTTAAAAAATAGTTATTCCCTAAAGATTATTTAAAAAAATGTTTTTTCACCCACAAAATTGGGTGTGATGGAATATAGTTGTTAACAATGAAAATTAAATCCATTTTTTCTGTAAAATTAATAAAATGATTTTTAATGTGGGAGAAATCTTATGAAAGTAAAATATAAATACATTATATATAAAAAGTGTTGGCTTAAATTAAAATGATACTAAAAAAATACTTTTAAATGTTCTATAAATTTAATTTATTTCACATCATTTTATTAAAATAACATGAATATATTTGTAAACACTCAAATTCCAAATCCAAAATATCAATTAAGGCTCAAATCTAATTATATTATTGAACCCTAAAACTTTAAATTTTAAAATCTATTTTAAAATCCTAATATATTTTTAAAATTAATTTATTGCTTAATAAATTAACAAAAAAGTAAATACTTTGAGTAAAAAATAGTGGATATTAATAATATAAACAAAATACTGAAATAATTTGAGTTAAGAAGTAAATATATAAATAGCAAATGAATGCACTTTTAGATTCCCTTCTCAGTCTTCGAAACTACACTGCCATGTATCTTTTCTCCCGACTTATCTCCCACGCTTCACCCAGAAGACACTCTTTCTCGCTTTCTTTCACCTTAATCCCCCATTTTTTCTCTTCTTTCTCTTCCGTATGCAGAGCAGAGCCCATTTTTGTCCCTTCTCAAATCCCTCCAGTTCCCAAAAGCGTTCCTTTCACAGTCTCCCTTCATGGCCATTCGTTGCAAGATCCTTACCATTGGATGCACAACACCAGCGACCCTGATTTCTTAAACTACCTCAACCAAGAAAATTCTTATGCTCAAGCTTTCATGGCCGACACTCAATACCTGCAACGAACTTTGGTTGCTGAGATGAAAAACTGGATGCCCCCCAAGGTTTCCACCCCCGTTGAGCGTTTTGGACCATGGTTTGTGTTTTCTTAATATGACCCATTTCATTTTTTACCCTAGTTTCAATTTTTTATGTGTATTTTTCCATCTTTGGCATTCATGGTTGCGTTAATGCTATTTGGGGTTTATATATGCCAGTGTTAGATTTGGGTTTTTATAAACTGATGCATTCTTAAAGATATTTTCTTTACATTGTGTTGGCGTTAAAAAGAGTGTTGTCCAATGTTAAAATGTTTATGAAATCTTAACTAACACTTGCAGCTTAATGAATTTTCAAGTCTCCTTCTTTAGTTGAAATTGTCTACCTTTGCTGTTGAAGAAATGAATTATGAGCGTACATACATTTTATGCAGGCTTTATTATGAATACATTCCAGAAGGGAAGGAATACCCGGTTCTCTGCAGGAGGTTTAATACTGAGAAACGTGGTTGGGCGGATAGGTTTCTCAGGATTGCGAAAGCTGGGGTTAGAAGGGAGGAAATTTTGCTTGACTGGAATAAAGTTGCTGAAAAATATGGTAGGCCTCTTTCAACTATATGTGTTCCAAAACATGGCTCTAAAGTCTAGTACCCTTAGCTATTGATCTGCAGCATAGATGTATGGCTAAAAATGAGGTAATTTTTTGTTTAAGGTTATGATTACTGATTTGTGTTTCTATTTTGTAAGTGCAGGTTATGTTCATGTAGGTCAGTGTCGAATTTCACCGGATCATAATTTTCTAGCATATACACTTGATGCTACTGGCAGTGAACAGTTCATGCTTCAAGTTAAGGACCTTAGAAATGGATGTATTATTCCAAGGGCACCAGTTGATGGAGTTGTTAGCTTGGCATGGGCTCAAGATTGCCAGACTTTGTTCTATACAATCGCAGATGAGAATCAACGACCTTACAGGCATACTTCTTCATTGCATTGCCGTATTTTTCTTAGAAATTGAGATGTTTTTCCGACCTATCTCTATTTTTTTGCAGGGTTCTTTGCACAAAACTAGGAGTGGGTAATACAGATGATACCTTGGTATTTACGGAAAATGATTCTAGCTATTGTGTGGACCTAACGAGTACTAAAGATGGCAAGTTCATAACTGTGAATTCAAATTCAAGGAGTTCATCTGAGGAAGGCATTTACCCTTTCGTTGCCTTTTTCTTTTACACTTTTTAGATTACAGTTATCACTAATGCCAATCTTATATCTCATTGCATTATTTCAGGTTTATGTTATAGACTCAACTGATCCCTTGAATGACTTGCAAAAAGTACATAACCGCATTCCTGGCATACAATATTTTTTGGAACATCATTTTGGTTTCTTTTATATTCTTACAAATGCTCCTATGAAAGAAAATATGAAGTGTTCCAATGAAGGATTATGTTTAGCTAGATGCCAAGTTGGAGCTATCCAGTCAACCACCTGGCAGGTTTGTGCTATTCGTATATGAAGAAGTGGATGCCTTATTCCTTTTTGTTTTTCATCATTTCTAACTGAAACTTCTACTCAAGCTATCCTTAATTGCATATCATAATACATTTTCTGTATTTGTAATTTTCCAGAATATTTTCTTTCCCGGTGAAGATACCAGTTTGCAGGATATGGACATTTTCAATGGACATTTGGTGCTTTCTGTCAATAAGAATGGCTTTCCTATGATATGTTCTATTGATTTGCCTATTAATGTTGATTGCAAGGTATTGCAGATTCTGCTTTTATCTTCTTTTATTAAATAAATATACAAGAAGAATTGTTGTTGTTGTTTCCAAGCTTTCTGTTCCATGAGCATAATTTTCATTTTTTGTCACAGAAAAATAGTTTTCCCTGCCTTCCAAACAATATTGAGTTTCACCATGAAAATGGTTTTTTATGTTGGGGTTTTAACTCATAATTGCATTTTGTCAATAGTATGGATTGATATTATTTCTTCGCATTTGCAAGTTTTGGAAAATTGCGAGTTATGAAAAATGAAATGAGTATTAGTCAAAGTACGTAAAAGAGAACTGATTGAAGTACAACTTAAAATTTTTCTAGACTACAAAATTTATCATTTAGTTGATTTTTACTTGCTAACACTTGCACTGATTTTCAATTTGGCACGAGTCATTTTGCAGCCTCAAATGCAGATTGAGGATCTTGATCCATGGATTTTTCCTATACCCTCAAATTCATGTAGTATTGAACCATGTTCAAACCTCGACTTCATGAACTCAGTATACAGAGTGGTGCTGTCATCTCCAGTGGTAATTTCTTGTGGGCATAATTATGATATAGTTACTTTTCGTATCTTGTACTTGTTACTCACCCCCCTAATGTCAATACGCTTAACTTGTATATTTTTTGTCACGGGTTTTACTTCTTCGGTTCATTTGTGGTTTATAAACACGATAAATTTTTTGCAATGATGATGAGTATAAAGAATCCTTCTTTTTCCCTCTTTGAGAAAAGAATAGTTACTATCATCTGTGCAGCTTCAAATGCTGATGTCAACAGCTTCAACACAATTGGAACCTTGAATTTTCTGTCACTGAAATGAACTAATTTATTAACCAATTATTGAAAGGAGTTATCAAACATCTCAATCTTTATGGGTATTGCATTTGCTAAATGACAGTAATAAACTAGTCAAAGACTAGGGAGCTTGTTTTACTTAAGTCTCTTAGCTCAGCAAACACTGTAGAGTTGCTTTTGCTTTATGTGTTGTGCTTAATTTAGTTACTTGAGCAAGGAAATTCATCTAGTTTGATTTTCTCTAAATTTCTTTGCACTTTCTTTTGGCATCTGTAGATACCTGACATTATCGTTGATTATGACATGAAAAGAAGGACATTCTTGATTGTTCAACAAGAGGAGGTACGTTGTGCTCCTGGCAATGCTAAATTATACTCTTCAGGATATGCCCTGCAACATCATGGCATTGAAAAGGTTGAAACGGACCAAAATGTTGAATTACAAATATGGAAGGACTTTTCTGATACTTATTGTTGTGAAAGAAAGGAAGTTATTTCACATGATGGTGTCCTGGTTCCTCTGACTATTTTGTACTCCCAAAAGGCTTGGAAGTGCGGCCAGTCACCTGGAATTTTACATGGTTATGGAGCTTATGGTGAAGTCCTTGATAAAAGTTGGCGTGTGGACCGTCTCAGTTTACTTGATCGTGGATGGGTGATGGCATTTGCTGATGTAAGGTTGGTTTAGTTTTATTCTTTTCATCAGATTTGTTTGGCATCCTTTTTGCCTATTAGGACCAACATCATTTTCAACTAATTTTTCAATTTCTGTGTTCAATGTTGAATTTGAAATATTTAGGCCTGATTTTTCTACATGAACATATGAGTCTTAACAAGGGCAATAAAATGTAACTAGAAGTTTTGGTTGAATTTTAGTTTATGAGCAATTGTTTTTGGAAATTCTAAATCCTTATCTACTTGTGATAATTTTATATAGAAATTTCGGTAACATGTGATGAACTTTACTTCCATTTCTCCCCCCCGGCTCCATATATATATAATTATATGTTCTGATTAGTTGATTTCCCTAATTTTTTCAAAATCATTTTCGCCTTAAGCACTTGTTCGCATTCTTGAATTTACACTCTCGGTATCTTGTTGCATCAGTATTTTGTTAATGCTTTTCATGTTCATTTAAAATGAAATAAAAAATCCATTGAGCATATGGTTGCTTCTCGCAATCTGGGATATTGTTACTTGTTATCTCAAATATTCAATTTGTTGTCTGAACAGGGGTGGCGCTGGTGATGATCCCTCATGGCATAAATCTGGAAATGGACTGTTGAAACAAAATTCTATACACGACTTTGTGTCTTGTGGCAAGTACCTTATTGATGAGGGCTATGTTCAGAGAGATCAGATGAGTGCCATTGGAGTTAGTGCCGGTTGTCTTCTTATAGGGGCGGCTCTCAATATGCTCCCAAACCTGTTTCGTGCTGCAATCTTGAAGGTCAGCCAATTTTTTGCTTGCAAAAGACCTGAAATTTACTGTAATATTACTCTCTTGCTCAAGTACTACAGAACTCATAAGCAGACTTGAAATAAGCAGGACTTTGAACTTGAGAACCAACAAACCTTTGAGCTGTTTTGTTGGACCATCATAATGGAGAGTTTGTTAATATTTGTAACAGGTACCATTTCTTGATATATTGAACTCATTACTGGATCCTAGTTTACCTCTCACCGTATTGGACTATGAAGAATTTGGCAATCCTCAGATAAAGGCTCAATTCGAGTGTATTTTAAGTTATTCTCCCTATGAGAACATTCGTCGTGGTGGTTGCCACCCTTCAGTTCTGGTTACAGCATCATTTAACGACTCGAGGTAAATTCACTTCATCGGCTTCGATTTTCACTTGTATTTGCATGAATGTCTGCTGGTTCATACTTCTGCAATGGCTTTAGTTCTTTGTACAGTACTCGACAAAACTTGGATATGTACATTAACTAATTATTGTTGCATTTAACCATTCATTCGAAGGGTTGGAGTTTGGGAAGCTGCTAAATGGGTGGCCAAAGTACGAGATGGTACATGTGCTTTATGTTCTCGTTCTGTCATTCTGAAGACGAATATGACCGGAGGGCATTTTGGTGAAGGTGGCCGCTACAGACAGTGTGAGGAAACAGCTTACGACTATGCTTTTCTTGTTAAAGTTATGGGAATTAACATGAATTAGTAACAAACTTGCCTCCATCAAATCAAATGTTCTTCATTAGCAGCCAAAATGGAAACTCAAAACAGTGGTCTTTCTTATAATCTTTTATGTGATTGATGATTATGTTTTCTGAAAGAACACTAGAATCCCAGTTCAAGCAGTCATCAATTCATTTATGATTGAAAAACAATGAGTCAGTTCCGAAGGAAAGTTGGTCATCAAGATGATTTGCTATATACTTTATTTACATCCATGATATTACAATCTTTAACGGAGCTAGATCATTGACCCCAAAATACACAAAACCGAAGCATTTACGATAACCAAAACAAAGTGAAACTGTGACGAAACAGGAATATCAGATGACAAAAAGGGTAAAACTGAAGTTGAAAAACTTTTGCCGGTCTTATTTCTTCAACCGTTTTTGAACTGGATCAGATTCCTCTCCACTGCTCATGTCTCTAAGATGGGTCGTTGCCAGAACAGGGGAGTTCTGCGGTTCCTGTAAAATTTTCCGAAAAAGGATCAGGAACAACTTCATGCAAGTTCTAGTGTTATATTCACTAATCTAATTAATACGGAACACTAAACCCTATAACAGGTTCAACCAACAGGAGGTTGATACCCATCTTTAATCGTCTGTTGTACCTCAGCAGATGTGCCGGTTGTTAGCCCTCTATTCGAATGCTTTCCAAGATCTATCTGCACTGAGATGTTGGCCTGTGACAGATCCAAACCCACGCTCTGCAGTGCTTGCGTGAGAGAAGTCAATAACCTGCTTGACATCAAAATCCAGAAACATTACCAACTTGTTCATCATCTAAACTTTAACGAGAACATTCAACAAAATGAGTGCCTTGTAATGTATAACAAGCAATGAGGTACCATAAAGAGAGTAGCGGTAGAAGCTGTTAACCACATAATTGATGAGCAATAAACTTTCAGAACACAATAAGCATAAGAAGGTATACCCACCCCTGAGAGTAGACGCCGGAGATGCTAATTGTTCCTCCTTCAATAGTCAGATTGTCCTGTTGGTTCGATGTGTCATTGCTGATAAGACATTTGGTTGATTGAGCCTCGGACATGGGTCTCAGAATTGGATGACCAAACACATTATCACCTCGAATGGACAGAGGCATTCCCTTGTTTGCCAACTCGGGTTGCTGATCCATAGCTTTGGATGTCGCATCTCTGATAGGATCAGCTTCGGCAGGATTCAGTGCACTTGTGATCATTCGTGGGCTCATATTGATGTTATTCTCATCCAACTTCCCGGGAAATGTTGACCCTGGACCAGAATCATTTTTAATAGTTTGTGGTTGACCAACAAAACTCTGAAAGCGCCAATGATTGTTTCTCTATTTAATCAAGGCAAAAGCTATTAGTCAAAAGTTCAATACCGAAAATAAGCAAGCACCATTTACAGCCACTTTCTTCACGACCAAGTAAATCATCAATGCAATGAATTAGCACCTTGAAAATAAGCAATACAAAGCACTAAAATATTGCAATTCTATTTCATTCAAAAGAATCGCATACGGACTAATAAATAGATACTCCTTTGCATAGACTATTGTGTATATCACGTCCTTCACATAAGGACTCATAGATATTCTATGATTTGTGTATAATCTTTTCATAGAATATCTAATAGCTTAATGAAGTGGATATATACAAATCATCATAGCTTGTCTCTTCAACCGGAAACAAACCACTTAAGCCACAAAGAAAATATAACTTGAACCACATGAACGGAAAGCCTTCCTTGAAAGAACATACCCATGGCATTAATTTCGTGGGCTCTGAACTCCATCCCCGGTATGAACTTTCGTAGTTTGTAACCTTCTCCTGTAAAAATTGGACATACTCTGTGACCTGCAAAAAGAATATCGACCAAACAACAAAATTTTCAAGCAGAAATTTTCAAAAGGAAAATAGTTAGATAAATACCATATATAGTAATTTTTTTATTCCAGGTTCATAACATACCTCTAGCAAGAATGAAGCTGTATCTCTCTTTTGATCCGTGTTTGGTATAAGCTCTCTCGATATCTGAAACCTAAAAGAAGCAGAAGCTATTAGTATTACTATTCCGAAAGTTAAGCAACCACCATCATTCTAGTAGAAAAGGCACCGGAACTTCAGTCTCCATAAAATGACCAATAACACCAGAATTTCAGGTGCCATTTCATGTTAAACATTTTATAAACTGAACTTAACCAATGTTTTAAACCTGTACATCTGCAACTCCCATTTCTAACACAATAGACTAGCTTTATACAAAAAGAGAACTCTTTCATAAAATGAACTTAACCAATGTTCTAAACCTGTACATCTGCACCTCCCATTTCTAACAAAATAGACAAGCTTTATACAAAAAGAGAACTCTTTCATAAAATGAACTTAACCAATGTTCTAAACCTGTATATCTGCACCTCCCATTTCTAACAAAATAGACAAGCTTTATACAAAAAGATAACTCTTCCACAAAAGCCCAGTAGAATCATCATAAATTCGTGATACAGTGAGTTAGCTGGAACGACAGCAATATTTCCATAACATAAGTAAACCAGAAGTAATAAAGTTCGAAACTTTCTTAGGCTCAACCTATTCTAAGCCATTACAATTAATGGTTTATGCAATTACCATAACTTTAGCTCGGTAAACATATAGAATTAATTAAAGGGTAAGGCTAACCAACCCCCCCCCCCCAAACAATTTCCATACAAGATGGACACGTACCTCTCATTTATCTTACTCCTCCTCCTCTGCTCGGTAACAGAATGTTTCGATCGCATCGCTTTAGCTTTATCAGTGTTATTCCCATCTGCTTCTACAAACCCAGAAACATGAACCAAAGAAATCCAAATAAAAAAAAGAACATCCTTTAAGGAACAATCATATGGAAATATGGTAAAGAAGAAGAAAGGGAAAAAAGGGGGATATGGGGTACAAGAGTGGGATCCAATCTAACAAGTATACCATTGTTGATGTCGGTTTTGTTATTGGCGTTGACAGACACAGTGTAAACCGAAGGCCTTGCTTTTTTGGAACCAAACTCATCTTCCTCTTGACTTCCCTTTCCCGTCCTCATTTCTTTTTTCTTCTCCAGATGTCACAAATATACGCACTATAAAAGTAAACCCCGCAAAAAAAAATTGAAGACTTTATGATAGATTGATGGGGGAGAAGTGGAAGGAATTGGAGAGAAAGTGGAGAAAGGAAAATATGAAGTTTTTTCGGTTGGTTCCCGGCGAGAACAAAAACAGTGTGATTGAACAAAGTAATCTGGTTTTGATGGAAAGGAAAGTGGCGACAACGACAACGACAACGAGAACGACAACGACAAACAAGGATGATGGTCATGGAATTGTGGGTGACATGGAAATTTTTCCTGGATTTGCCGTGATGTTTTTACTTAAATTGGGCCTTCATTTGTTCTTTCTCATGTTCAATGGGCCCTGTGACCATGACAAAAATAGTAACATCAAAATTTGTAGGTATCATATATTACTAGGTGTTCATGAACAGGAATTAGATCGCGATAACAATAACGATATTAATAATTTCTTTATTAATTTGATAAGATTATAAAATAATATTTATTTAAAATTTTATTATTTAATTAAAAATAAATATATACACTCTGAATATAGTTACTCACACTCAAAACTTCAAAAAGAGAACAATACTCAACTTACATTTTGAATTAATATACGTGGGGTTTAATTTGAGTTTATTTATTTATTTCATCATTAAAAATAATATAAAATAGGTTTTAATATAAAATAGGTTTTATATTAATAATTTTTAAAAAAATATTTCTATTATTTAATTTTAATTCGAATGAAACCGATTTAAATTTAAAAATTAAAATCGACTCATAAATGGGTTCTATTAGTCTTTGGATGTTGGACCCATGGTTTAAAGTTAGACCAGATAGGTGTATACAAATACATCGGCCCAATAAAGCCCACAAAATGATGTGAATTAGGCTTAATCTGATTTTATTGTAAATAAAATATTGGTACTAAAATATCAACTGAATTTAATATTGAGATCGTGATTGAAGGGCCTAATTAAATTGTATTTACCCCTAATTAAATTGTTTGATTAGATATTTTTTTTATAATTTATTAACTTGAACCACCCCAGTACCAATGATGCTTACATTGGAACTAACCCAAGAAAGTTATAAATTGATCATCTAACTATAATACATATTTGTTGAGTTCGTGACTATTAAAAGTTATAAACTGATCACTCGACTATAGATAGTTGTTTTGTTGAGTCCGTCGACTATTAAAAATTATAAAATGGTCACCCGACTATTTATTATGTTCCAAACTCGTCCATTTTCTTTAAAAAAAATTAATGACAAATTGAGTTGGGCGTTAATATACTGACTGAGATATAATAAAATATGATCTCATAATCTCAAACGGTTATCATATATGAGTTAGCATGTTAAAGTCCAACTCAGACGATCATTATTTTTTTTAAGAGAAAATGACGAGTTTGGAACATAATAAATAGTCGGGTGACCATTTTGTAACTTTTATTTGCTAAGGGACTTAACAAAGCAATCTCATATAGTCGAAAGATCATTTTGTAGCTTTCAATAGTCAGGAAACTCAATAAAACTGTATCCTATAATCGGGGACCACTTATGAAATAGAACTTAGATCTAGACTTATGGATTAATACTCATCCATCGTATTTATGCACCTATGACTCAATTTTTTTCCATTTATTTTTTATATCACTATTATAGATCACTAGTGGTACATATAGATTTCATATTATATTATGTACATAAATACAAATGATGATTAATATTATATAAATAATGATTAAGATTATATTATATAATTTTTTTATATAAAATTAATCCCAATATATAAAAATATTTTTTTATATTTCCAGAATAATTAAACTACTTTTTAAAATATACTATAGAAATTGACCAAAAATATCTGCGAAACCCCATGCATATAGAATAAGATCTGGGAGCGATACTTTCAACTTTCAAGGTTGAGTAGATTAGGGTTAATTTAAAATCAAATAAAAAACAACATAAAATTTAGACATGATTACCCCACAACAAATAAAAAGGGCACTCCTTGTGTCCCATTTTCAACAGTCCAAAGTAATGAAACTATCCACGTTATGTCAATCTTTGGACCGTATAATGAAATGGTCAATCAAAGCAACAAATCCAGAAATAAAAAAAACATCCTTTCTTTATATATAAAAAAATACGAACAAACAAGTTGAAGCTATTTTTGTGTGTGTAACAAATAATAATACTATTAAATATATTTCTTTAAAATTTACGAGTAGCTTCTTTGTTTTAAGTTAATTCACGAGAATAATATTTTATTTATTAAAATAAAATCTAAATAATATTATTTATCAACGTGACGTGTTTTTTTGAGTGATTGACAATAAAAATTTATATCCTTGCACATGTGATCTTAAACTATCGAAATTATTTGATTCGTGCTGATATGATTAATGTTTGATAAACTCAAAATTCAATAAATTGAGGTCAAAAGATAGGGGAATTCCTTCGTATCAAAACCGCGTGATCAAATATCATGAAAAAAAAGTCATCAAATTGCTCGGACTCGGACCCAGCTTAAGTAAGAGTATTCAAAATTCGATTTTAATCAAATTAATCGATCGAATCAAACTAATACGATTAATTCGATCGACCATCGAATTCTGACTCGGACTCAGCTTAAGTTCCGCTTTTTTAACAGCAGTGGGTATTTCCGTGATTTTATCAACAAACGAGGATCCATTAAATATCCCCGATTAAACGGCGGAAAATAATTAAAAACTAAAGTAAAAAACCGGCCATTTGTTAACATTGCCTGGAAAGACATTGACTCCCGCCACGTCATCACCCAATACGTTATCTCCACGTCACCGTCACAAATAAAAACTCAAAAATTAAAAAAAAAAACATAACATAACACATCCCACGGTGTAACCCTTCGTCCTCCTACATCCAACGGTCAGGAGTTCACGTTCTAGATCCTTCCACCCCCTCTTGTCATCAAATGAGAAAAAGAGGGAAAAAAAGTAGAGTAATATAACTAGGGTTAGTTAATTAACTCCGGTAAGGGCAAAGACCGAGTTAAAGAGCGACTCTTCGAAAGGTAGACTGAGCTGAAAGAGAAATAGAGAAAAAAGAAAACAAAGAGAGAGAAAGAAAAGGAAGCTTTAGACAACCGAGTCAACTCGGACGATTCCTTGCCTCCTTTTACACTTTCCCGCTGATTCGTTCTCTTTGCCCAACTCATTTGTTTTTCTTTTTTCATCGAATTCAAAGTTCAATCGACATTTCCTTTTTCTTTCAGATTTCGGAAATCGGTAAGTTATTTTTCTTAAATTTGTATGTTTTAAACTTGTTTTAGTTAAAGATTTAGTCTTGGGTATTAAGTATAATGAAACGTTGAAGATCAATGCCTAGGGATTTATCCTTATGTTTAATCTCTGGAATTAATTGAAAATCATAAATTTTCTTTAGGCGTTTCTTCTTTAATCTTCTGTTTAAGTTTCTTGGATCAGTTGTTGGTATGGATGTGTTTTAAGCTAGTATTCATAGCTGGTTACTTGTCTTTAGTGGATTCCTTTGGTATATTGAAGAAATGCATTTATTTTACTCTGTTTTGGATTTGTGATTCTGTTCACTTTTGATTTATAAATGCATTAATTACGGTAACTGCTACTTTTACTTAGCTAAATCTATCCATTTAGAGAATATTTGAGCATATATAGTGAGAGTAACTCTTTTACTTGCTTAATCAAAATCAGGGTTTTGATCTAAATCTTGTTTCTTTTTTCACAGGTTGGTTTGGATTTTTCAATCTGTTTATGGATGCTAGAGATGGCGCAATAAGTGTAGTGTAGGGATTAGATCTTCATTTCGGTCTGCCAATTCTGTTGACTTGGTGCTTTTTCTTAGTTGTTTGGGTTGGGATTTTTGGTTTTATTGATTGATGGTTGTTGGTAAATTGGAGTTGTTTCTGGTCCATTTCTGATTGGCTTTGGAGTTTGGGTCTTCTCGAAGGAGAAGAAGCTCCCATCTATTGTCAACTCTGCCTCCAGATACCTGGAAAGCTGTGACCGATTTCTCGTGAATGTCTTGTAAGTTGGACAGTCCTGTTCAAACTCAAATGGCAGTGGCAGTGTTTAACAGTCCTCTCCTAGGGGAATATCCTAGGGACAATATGATAGAAGGGAAACAACCTACTAGGCGGAGACGGGTTTTCGTTCAAACTGAGACTGGCTGTGTCTTGGGCATGGAGTTAGATCGCAGTGATAATGCTCATACGGTTAAGCGAAGGTTGCAGGTTGCCCTCAATTTTCCTACAGAGCAAAGCTCGCTGACTTTTGGGGATGTGGAATTGAAGAACGATCTTAGTTCTGTTCGAAATGATTCTCCACTTCTTCTGACACGAAACTCTTTCCATAGAAGCTCCTCAACACCGTGTCTTTCGCCTACGGGAAGGGATCTTCAGCAGAGAGATGGAAGTGGTCCTATTGAAATGCTGGGGCATTCCGATAGCTTTAATGTTTTAAAAGTTGTGGTGAAGGACATTGTTAAGGCAATTAAGATGGGTGTTGATCCACTTCCTGTCCATAGTGGTCTGGGAGGTGCCTACTACTTTAGGAATCCTAGAGGTGAGAGTGTCGCAATTGTGAAGCCAACAGATGAAGAACCTTTTGCACCAAACAATCCAAAAGGCTTTGTTGGGAAAGCCCTTGGACAACCAGGTTTGAAACGTTCGGTTCGGGTAGGTGAGACAGGTTTCAGAGAAGTTGTGGCTTACCTTTTGGACTATGATCATTTTGCAAATGTGCCACCGACAGCACTGGTAAAGATTACTCACTCAGTCTTCAATGTCAATGACGGTGTGAATGGAATTAAGCCTCTCAAGAAGAATCTGGTTAGCAAGATTGCATCTTTCCAACGGTTTATTTCGCATGATTTTGATGCTAGTGATCATGGAACCTCAAGCTTTCCCGTTTCTGCCGTGCATCGTATAGGGATTCTTGATATACGAATATTCAACACAGACAGGCATGCAGGAAACCTTTTAGTACGGAAGCTTGATGGAATTGGGAGGTTTGGTCAGGTAGAACTCATTCCTATTGATCATGGCCTTTGCCTGCCAGAATCTTTGGAGGATCCATACTTTGAGTGGATTCATTGGCCTCAGGCTTCAAAGCCTTTCTCTGAGGATGAACTTGAGTATATAGAGAAGCTTAATCCTTTTAAAGATTGTGAGATGCTGAGAACAGAACTTCCCATGATACGGGAAGCTTGCCTACGAGTTCTTGTACTCTGCACAATTTTCCTCAAGGAAGCTGCAACATTTGGTCTCTGTCTTGCTGAAATTGGTGAGATGATGAGTAGAGAATTTCGGGCTGGAGAGGAGGAACCTAGTGAGCTAGAGGTTGCTTGTCTTGAGGCAAGGAGGCTGATAGCAGAGAGGGAGCTATCATCTCCTAAGTCCGATGAAGGTGATGCAGAGTTCCTGTTTGATATTGACTCCGAGGAACCAGAAACTGATTTCACCCCTAATATGGCTAATGATGATTTTATGACAAGAACATCAGTCCAATTTGGAAATGGGTTTGTGAATAACCATCGATTTCCACTTTCGAAGCTGGAGGAATGCTTTGAGGAATATGATGAAAGTGAAGGAGAAACCGAGCGGGATGGTTTTTCTCCTTTCATAGCTCTTGAAAGGATCCCATCCGTTTCAAAAATTTCAATGTCACTCAAAGATACCTGCTTAGGTGACAAGAGCCAGAAATATTCCAAATTTTCTGGAACAAAACAAGAAAGCAGCTATCTTACTTGTTCATCCGGGAATAGGAGTGCAAATGAGCAACTTCCTGCAAGTGTGAGCTTTGTGAAGCTGGCTGACATGAATGAAGAGGAATGGGCCTTCTTCCTGGAGAAGTTCCAGGAGTTGCTCCACCCAGCATTCAACAAACGAAGATCCGTTACCGTGGGTCAGAAGCAGATACAGAGGCTCGGTACATCGTGCCAGTTTTGAAGTTGAGGTGGTAGTATATCGATCTGAGTTGAGTTGACGGAAGAAGAAATAAGCCATTGTAGGTTTGTTGGGTCTTGAGATAAGAGAGTATTATTAGGATAGATTCAGTATCCTTGGGATATTGTAGGATGAATCCCCCTCCCTGTAAATATTCTTTGGCTTCAGCTAAGTGGAGAGCTGAGGTTAGTAGAATTTGTTGTATTTCTTCCTTAAGCTTTTAGCTTTTTATTTGTTCTTTTTACTCCTCTACTTTTCACATGAACTTTGTTGGATAAATAATTTGTATATTGAAGCTAAAAAAGAAAAAAAAGAGTATTTATGTAAATTTGGGCATTTTAAACTTGTGTTAATGAAATCTTTCTTTTGTTTGTTTATAAAGTACAAACAGTATATATAATCAGTCTACCTTTATGGAAAACATCAGTACTTTGTGGGAAAAATTCAGGCATTTGTGTGTTTTATATACAGGTCAACATCACCAAGTAAGTCACTATCATGCCTACAAACCAGAGTTTATCTTATTCATGAACATCGAGGCTTTGATGAAGTAATTGTAGCTACCAGGTTATGCCTTTACAACTAAGATTATAATCATGCAGCAGCAGCTAAAATTGACCATAAAGTTACCATATGTATATATAATGATGAAGGGTTTATCTGGTATCATAATTTACATTGATTGTAGTTGAAGATAAAATGATGAATCTGCTGCCTGAGTGGTAGGCAAAAAGTGGGGGGTCTTTGTGGTCCCTAATATCATTGAAGCAAAATGATGGTTACAGACATTTGGTGAAAGATCAACTTTAGAGACATGTGCAAAGAAGAAAAGGGAAGGGGGGGGGGGGGTTTCCAAAGACCCTTGTTTGAGTTGGTTTCATATTGACCACCTTTTGAATGATTTATGATTCTGTTTCCCCCAGCAAGAAACCAACTCAAATCTTTCTTTAAATTTTTTTTCATATTCGATATGAACCCGTATACGATTCTGGAATTTGATAGATCTTTGGGTTCAAGTCTCTTATAAAATGTTTTGACTTCTGGTGTAAAACAAGATTTGTGAATTGGGGTTTTATCAGGAGAAGATTACAAAGATGAATTGAAGGATAAATGGCTCTTTAAAATCGGATGGGGTGGATAAGAATGGAGGAACGATGAGTTAAAATCAAGAAGTGGACACTCAGACAAATTATTTTGAGATATGGCAACATCATATCAGCATGCCACTCCCTTTGTTATGCCGACTTAGATAAGTTGCTTCATGCCGTCGTTTTTTAAACATTCCACAAATTTATATTCAAATATTAAGATTATTATTTGTTGTGAATTTAGAGTAAATGCAAATAAATATCTTTAAATATCTATGATCTAAATTTATGTTATGCATGACATAGAATTTTTAAATTCATATATATATATATATGAATTTGACTTAGGATAATAATATTTAATTTAAATTTTAATAATAAGACTTAAATAATTTTCAAATAAATTTACTGATTGAAATTAGAATAAATTTTCACGGTCTTTTGCTTGATGAGGAACATCTTACCATAGAAACAATGCCAAATATTGGTCTTTGGATATAAAAATAAAAAATTGTTTGAAAAGTGATTGTCAATTTAGAGTTTATTTGATAGCCTATTCTAAAAAATAAATTTCAGAATTTTTTTTTGGTATTTAAATGATAGAGTGTAAATCATTTAAAGAATCACTGAAGACTTGTGAAGTAAAAAGACAACATTAAAGAATCGCTTGTGAGCGTTGGAGGCCTATAAACTAAAATAAATCACATCATAAAAAATTAGCTGACCATATTCCCATATGTAATGGGGTGAGAGGAGATAGGATAGTAGGTTGCCCCAACGCCAGGTTGAGAGCAGCTTCCGTAGAAGACCTCCTGCAGTCAGAATTATGAATTGCCCACCGTGAGACTCGATCCCACGACCACAAGGTTAAGAACCTTGCGCTCTAAATCACACCATAACCATAACCACCGTGAATTTTAGTGACCAATATAAAAGTAAAGAGAAAGTTGCGTGATGAAATTTATAATTTACCCATATCATTGAATCACTAAGACAATAAAACTGCATCATTTCTTTAGAACAGTTGTGAATTAAGTGAGTTCAACTAGAGATGACTCTAAGAATATCTGCAACTACTCTCTCTCTCTCTCTATATATATAAAAGATAAATTAAAATTTCTTCATATATAATTGTAGAATGATTTAGAAAATGAAAAGTTCAAGTAATATATAAGATGCAGAGTGCAGGATCTTTATATTCCACGGAGTAAATGTCAATCTCCCATTAATCTACGGCATTATTATAACAATCCATGACTTCTATTTCACTGTATATACAAAACAATTGATTATACACGAAGAGCTTAGCTTGTGTTTCAGTAAACACCAAAAAGAAAAAAGAGAATGTAAAACGGTACTCAATTAGAGTCAGTAGAGAAATCATACAAGTTAAATGTGCCTCCAAGGTCTTTCGGCAAGGGTTACACATTCATTATATCTGAAACAATCGACCAAATGATCAATCGTCAATCCGGCCGCTTGCATGAACGAATACACGATCACCGGCCCGACGAGCCGGAATCCATGCTTCAGTAAGTCCTTGCTTATGGCTTCGGCTTTCGGAGTTCTTAGCGGAACATTTCTGGGGTACTTGTATCTGTTGATGGTTGGCTTATAACTCACGTAACCCCACATGAAACTACTGAAAGATCCATATTCCCTCACAATCTGTATATATTTTCATGCTTAAATTCATTAACTGTTTTACAAAAAGCGATGTAGTTCAACGATGAGGAAGGGTTCGCGGATGCCGGAAAAATGGGATAAATTCGATAAGGACAGACTTACCTTGAGTATGCATTTGGCATTGTCGATTATGCACCTTACTCTATTCTCTGCTAACATGATTGATTTGTTGGATGATATCTCGTTGATTTCTTTATCCCCCATTTTAGCAACATTCTCAGGATCAAAACCCAAGAAAGCTTCTCTATATGATTAACATAAAATTCCCAGCTTCAGATAATATATATATGAATGTATGTATATGCAGAATTGAAGAACATGTTGCACCTGTAAAGATCCCTTCTTTTCAAAATCTCTGTCCAATTATAATCCATCAGCATACCAGACAAAGCAAGCAGTTCGAACAATTGGCTGTTTGATTGATTATGTCGGATGAAAACAACATTAGTAGATCAGAATTTGATGTCTGAATCCGAGGAATTAGAAACTTACTTGTCATCGTAAACAGGAACTCCCCATTGCTCGTCGTGAAATGATATGTAAACCTTATCTGTATGATAAAAGCTTTTGTTAATAATTTATGTTTTTTTTGTTCATATTTACACAATAATTAAGAATAAAACAAAATGGCAAACGACAGGCCATCCAACACATTAATTATGAAACGTAAATAGAATATAAGTGGTTGGTTCGTTGTCTAAATGGGGTTGAAATTATTAAGGCAGACAAAGACTGAAGATCAGCCATCAAACTTTCATAATCAATCACCATTGTTAGAATAGTATTTCCTTAGCTTAACCCGAAAAAACGATATAGAGTTACAGATGTTGAGATTCAAACTCCACGAATCAATTAAGTAAACCCGAGTTTGAGATAACTTACCACTGTTCTTTTGTAACCCAATGGCACCTCCTCACTTCAACATTACCAGGATCTTGGCATTGTTGTTGCTGCTGTTGATGATGAACACTTTTGACAACCATGGGGAACTCTCTTCTCTGGCGATGAGGAGAAATCAAGCTAAGTGCCAGTGAAATCTTTTGTTCCAAGGGCGTGCTGGAATGATCCGTGAGAGATGAATCGTTCGAGTTCTGCGACAAAGACAACGATAACGACGATAACGATAAAGAAGAAGAGCTTCTTTGTAACCCGATAGGGTAGACTTTCTTCAGATGTTTGGATAAACCACTTTGTGTCGACGATTTCTCCTTCTCTTTGCAACATCTGTTCTTCTCTAAAACATGTTTCCTTACATTTGTTTTGGACATGTTTGAGAAAATCATGGAATTCTATGTTTTTTCCTACTTCGATGTCGGTAGATGTAAGGTTTGGGGTTTTAGGAGTTTGATAAAACATTAGGGTTTTATATAGTGTTGGGAGGGAATGTAATGGCTGCCTGCCAAACCTAAGTCGGTGAAATGTAGATTTCATATGCGTTTTCTTTGCTCCTTTGTTTGTAAGCAAAACAAATACCCACACACAAACACACACGCACATATATATACATACTAAGAACGAGACACTTATACACCCCATAGATACAACCGTTAGATTCTAAATTCTTTAAGATAAACAACATTCTCTTCACTATCAATGTGACTTAATGAATTCCACAAGTATTGAAATTTAAATTTAAGATAAACATATTAAAATTTGAATTTATTTTGTGTTTTTTCCATTAAAATAATTGTTTAGGAATAATGTTGTAAGTTGTTGATTAGACCTCTAAGCTAAACTGATTATTGAGTTAATGACATTGCATGCCTACATGCCCCTATGGAAGTCAAACAGCTGTTTTAAATGTCTGTATATGTGTCTGGTAACCTACTCTTGTGGTCCAAAACTTTAAGTATTTGGATTTTTCATTGATTTGTTAGATTACTCATTACTATTATGAAATATAAGCGACAAATGCTGTTTTAATATTTATATGATTTTACAATATTCCTTCATTTGTTTTTGAGAGATTAACTACCAAAAATAATTCAATTTTGTCACACAACTATACTGTTGAAGAATCGGGTAAAGAAAACAAAAGAACACAAGAATTTTAACGAGGTTCGGCAATGTGCTTATGTCCTCGGTGCCTAGACGGCGCTATAAGTTTTAACCAGGTTTTTTATTATAAATAGAGATGTAACCTAAACCTATGAGACATTGAATAAAACTTCTAGCGCCGTCTAGGCACCGAAGACGTAAGCACATTGTCGAACCTCGTTAAAATTCTTGTGTTCTTTCGTTTTCTTTACCCGATTCTTCAACATATACCATTTATTTTATATAACGAATAATTGTTCTCATAAAAAAATATTGAAAGTGGAATTGATTTTAGGTGAAATGACAACAGCATGGTGATTTGAAAACAACAGTAATGAATTAATTAGGGTTCTTTCTTTATAGTTGCAGTGTTTTTTTTCCCAATCGAGGAGGAGGAATGAATGGGTCCAAATGCATATACATTCTTAACTTGCACTCCTTCAGGGCATTGAGGCAAACCTGTGGTCTGCATAGACAAAGATATCTCATCCATACGTCACACTCTTCTCCTTTATACTATGCCCACCAAAA